AAATAAGATTGCTATGCCTGCTTTTTTCTGGGTTCCTGTTGCATTGAGAACTGTTTTCCATCCTTTTACTTTCAGTCTATGTATTTCTTTTTGAGTTAGGTGTGTTTCTTGTATACAGCATATTTCTGGATTTTACTTCTTAATCCATTCTGTCAGCCTATTTCTTTTGATTTGTGAATTGAGGCCATTAACATTGATAGTTACAACTGATAGATACTAACTCATCTTTGACATGATATTTTATTATTGTTGGCTTTTTTATTTCTTTTTATCCCCCCCTTTCCCTTTAGTGTCTTACCTTGCCTGGTGGCTTCCCTCTGCTGGGCCTCATGGAGTTGTGACCTTCATTGTCTTTTTCTAGGACATTGCTTAGGATTGTTTGGAGTACTGGTTTGGTGTTCATGAAATTTCTCAGGTGTTCTTTGTTGTGGAAGTATCTAATTTCCCCATCTATTTTGAAAGATAATTTTGCAGGATACAACAGTCTAGGTTGGAAGTACATAAAAAAATGGAAAGACATCCCCCGTTCCTGGGTAGGAAGAGCCAATATAGTGAAAATGGCCATACTTCCAAAACTACTATATAAGTTTAATGCAATGCCAGTTGAAATTCCAACAATATATTTCACAGAACTAGAGAAAACATTCCAAATATTCATTTGGAACTGAACCAGAAGAGACCTAGAATAGCAAAAGAAATTCTAGGCAACAGAGATATGGCTGGGGATATTACAATCTCCAACTTGATACTATACTACAAAGCTACTGTGATAAAAACAGCATGGTGCTGGCAAAGAAACAGACCCGAGGATAAGTGGAACAGATTAGAAAATTCAGAAACAACTACAGATATACTCAGTTACCTCATCTTTGACAAAGGAGCCAGCCACCCTCATTGGAGGAAAGATAGCCTATTTAACAAATGGTGTTAGGAAAACTGCAGTCCAACCTGCCAAAGATTAAAACTAGACCCATACCTATCACCATGCACTAAACTAAGATATAAGTGGATTAAAGATCTAAATATTAAGACAGAAACATTACTTTTGGTAGAAGATAAGTTAGGTAGAACTCTTGAAGACATTGGCATAGGAAAAGACTCTATGAACAAAACCTCAGTAGCATGGGAACTAGCACAAAGAATCAACAACTGGGTACTCATATTATTAAAAAGCTCCTGCACTGCAAAAGAAACCACCAACAGAGCTAACAGACAACCTACAATGTGGGAAAAAATTTTCAGCAGTTGTACCTTAGACAAAGGACTACTATCTAGAATATATAAGGAACTGAAAAAAATTAGACCCCCCAAATTCAAAGACCCAATTCAAAAATGGGCATCTGAAATGAACAGAAATTTTTCAGATAAAGAAGTAAAAGCAGCAACTAAACATATGAAAAACTGTTCAACACCACTGGTCATTTGAGAGATGCAGAAGAAAGCAACACTGAGATTCCACCTCACCCCAGAAAGAATGGCTGCTATCAAGAAGTCATCCAGTAACAAATGCTGATGGGAGTGTAGGGAGAAAGGAACCCTTCTCCATTGTTGGTGGGAGTGTAGACTGCTGAAACCACTGTGGAAATCAGTATGGAGATACCTCAAAGAACTAGGCTTAGAGGTCCCTTTTGATCCAGCTATTCCCTTGCAGGGATCTTCCCCAAAGAATTAAAAGAATCATACCACAGAGATATATGTGCACCCATGTTTATAGCAGCACAGTTTGTAATAGCTAAAGCTTGGAAGCAGCCCAAGTGCCCACCAACTGGAGACTGGATAGAGAAGATGTGTTTTTTTTTTTAATAAAATGGAGTACTACTGAGCCATAAAGAATGAGAAACTAGAATAATTTATAGCTAAATGGATGCATATTGAGGCCATCCTCTTAAGTGAAATAAATAGGACACACATGTGGAAATACCCAATAGTTTCTCTAGTGTGAGAAACTGAAAGTGTAAATAAGGATTAAAATGATTAAAATGAATAATGGATAATCTGAAATAACAAGAAAATTTCAAAGGGGTAGGGATGGCAGGAGGGGAGAGACCAGAGTTACAGGCTGGAATCTGGAAAGAATCCATACATAGATTGTGTTTAAAACTCTAGGAAGAGATGTAGATAGAGACTAGGCTGGAGCTCATCAGTGGGTTGGGAAGGAAGATTCACTGAGATCAAAGGAGAGAAGGGTGTGTTTCCAGAAGAAGCACATACAACTATGTACAGTACACAGTCCTCGATAGTGTGATAAATGACTGTTACTGCTTTAGGTACTTATCATAACATGCTGTGCTTTTCGTCCTTTAGAGCATAATCCTACTTATATAAAAGAGTTTACTGTAAAACAGTGTGCTGCTATGCCAGTGGTAGCCTCGTGTTTAACTGTGTATTCGGATAATATCAAGGGGCCATCACAGATGACTGACATATACCTTTTCAGTTTGCACTTAGAAGATGACACTCTGTGTGGTACTTTGCCATACACACGGATGAAATTGCCTAATAACATATTTCTCAGATTATATTTCCATCATGTGTCACATGACTGTATTGAAATTTAAATTTTAAAAAATTGGGC